GCTTAAGCTCTCTCTCTTTCTCTCTCTCTCCTGGGCTTAAGCTCTCTCTCTCTCTTTCTCTCTCCTGGGCTTAAGCTCTCTCTCTCTTTCTCTCTCCTGGGCTTAAGCTCTCTCTCTCTCTTTCTCTCTCCTGGGCTTAAGCTCTCTCTCTCTCTCTCTCTCCTGGGCTTAAGCTCTCTCTCTCTCTTTCTCTCTCCTGGGCTTAAGCTCTCTCTCTCTCTTTCTCTCTCCTGGGCTTAAGCTCTCTCTCTCTCTTTCTCTCTCCTGGGCTTAAGCTCTTTCTCTCTCTCTCCTGGGCTTAAGCTCTTTCTCTCTCTCTCCTGGGCTTAAGCTCTCTCTCTCTCTCTCTCTCTCTCTCTCTCTCTCCTGGGCTTAAGCTCTCTCTCTCTCTCTCCTGGGCTTAAGCTCTCTCTCTCTCTCTCTCTCCTGGGCTTAAGCTCTCTCTCTCTCTCTCTCTCCTGGGCTTAAGCTCTCTCTCTCTCCTGGGCTTAAGCTCTTTCTCTCTCTCTCTCCTGGGCTTAAGCTCTCTCTCTCTCTCTCCTGGGCTTAAGCTCTCTCTCTCTCTCCTGGGCTTAAGCTCTCTCTCCCTCTCTCCTGGGCTTAAGCGCTCTCTCTCTCCTGGGCTTAAGCTCTCTCTCCCTCCTGGGCTTAAGCTCTCTCTCCCTCTCCTGGGCTTAAGCTCTCTCTCTCTCTCTCCTGGGCTTAAGGTCTCTCTCTCTCTCCTGGGCTTAAGCGCGCTCTCTCTCTCTCTCTCCTGGGCTTAAGCGCGCTCTCTCTCTCTCTCTTGGGCTTAAGCTCTCTCTTTCTCTCTCTCCTGGGCTTAAGCTCTCTCTCCCTCTCTCTCCTGGGCTTAAACTCTCTCCTGGGCTTAAGCTCTCTCTCTCTCCCTCTCTCTCTCTCTCTCTCACACACACACACACAAAGAAAAAACTTATGATAGGCTTGTGGAAGATGACAAGTTACCTCAGAAATGTTTTATGTGGGTTTTGTTAAACTTGGTGAATAGGAAGATGTAACTGGCCTTTTATGCTTTAATAGGACCACTTTTTATTACTCTCCACTAAAGTAGGTGGTTCTAAATTGCTCATCTGCTGTTCTGGTACTTGTCTCAAGCCAAGTGAGTTTATGTTGTGACTCACAACTTCTATGAAGACACTTTAACTTGTACAAATTTACCCAGAGACTACTACTGCTCTGTAATCTGTACTTTCTTTTCTTTTCTCCAGTTCTAAGGCTTGAACTCAGACTGGGCAGTCCCTAAGCTTCTTTTGCTCCAGGCTAGCAGTCTAACACTTGAGCCACAGCACCACTCCCAGCTTTTTCTTGTATGTGGTACTGAGGAATCAGATCCAAGGCTTCAATGCATCACTAAGCCACATTCTCAGCCTTGCCCCATAATCTGTATAGCTCCAGGTAACTTGTCACGATCAACAAAGAACATTCTTTTTCATGTTTTCTCCTTCTTAAGGTGCATATTCTTGCCGGGTGCCTGTGACTCACACCTATAATCCTAGCTACTCAGGAAGCTGAGATCTGAGAATCGCGGTTCAAAGCCAGCCCAGGCAGGAAAGTCCGTGAAACTCTTATCTGCAATAAACCACCAGAAAAAAGCCAGAAGTGGTGCTGTAGCTCAAGTGGTAGAGTGCTAACTTTGAGCTGAAGAGCTGAGGGACAGCTCCCAGGCCCAGAGTTCAGCCCCATGACAGACCAAATTAAAAAACAAAACAAAAAAACATATTCTTAAATAAGAAAAATAATCTGGACAAATCCATGAAAAACAGTTATTACACTTAAAATTGTAACAATAGCTTGTGGCTCACACCTCTAATCCTAACTACTCATGATCTATGGATCACGGTTGTAAGCCAACCTGGGCAGGAAAGTCCATGAGACTCTTATCTCCAATAACCTCAAGAAATGGCCAGAAATGGCATCATGGCTCAAATTTGTAGAGTGCTAGCCTTTAGCCAAAGAAGCTCAAGGAGAGCACCCAAGCCCTGAGTTCAAGCCCTAGGACTGGCACACCAAAAAAAGGATTCCTTCTGCATCAATTTTTTAAATAGTATTTTTTCTAAAGCATCTTTAAGTAATTCTTACTTTTCTAATAATGGTTTAAACTTTACACGTTATTCATTTAAGACACTATTCAACATAATGCACTGTTGTGATAATCAAATGCATAGATGTTCCTGTTGGATATCAATAAACATTTACTAACTTGAAAGAACAAAAAAAGAAGAAAGGTATTTGCAACTGGTTGGCTTTAATAAGCAACTCCCACTTTTCATTTACTTCTTCCAGGTCTTTACTTCATCATCAAAAACAAAATGAGCTACTTCAAAAACTCACTGTCTGGGGTAGAAATATTATTTGTCCTATTTTCTTTTTCCCATTAGAAGTGGCTCCCCAAAATAAGAAAGACAAATACAAACAAATCATGCATTCAATTCAGGCATAACATCTTAACATTTAATAGAAACTATATACAATAATTTCTTATTATATTTTACATAGGATAGCCACACAGCAATTTACCTAAGTTAAAAGATGGTTTACGCCTATGGGCTTTTCTCATGAAGCCGGAGTATACTTGGGAAAGGGGTTCTTCTAATGGCACAGTTAAATGAAGGTGAGGAAAGGCTGAAGTACAGGCCTTTAGGTAAGAGATAACCAGACATGTGGGGCCCCCAGATTCTCAAGGGAACTGTTCATAAACACCTTACCCAACCTAACCACCTACGTGAACTCCTGCTCCCAACAGGAAACCCCTTTACAAAGATGTTTTTTCCTGAAGCATAGTCCCAAATATTCACTCAACACCAGAGACAGGCATTAATAACTCTCTTTCTTATAAAGAAACTTGTAACTTTTTAAATACTATTGGTCCATTCTCCCAAATCTGGTTTCATATTTAGTTATTGTACTACGACCACTAGAAAAACAATGTGGTCTGCGTTGTCCTTGTTTAGTGAGAGGTGAATAGTACTTATTAGAAGAATGGGAATTCAATCCACCAAAGTCAAATGGCTCCCAGAACAAACTGTCAATTGTCAAGTGGGTTCTGGTTTCCCATTTGCAGTAGCCAATCCACTTTGAGGCAGCAGCGCACAAGCTTTCTCAGAATTTCGAGATCCCTGGGATCTGCAACCATCTCCAGCTACTGGTATTTGGCCCTATTAAACAACAAAGGAATTTTGTTAGAAATTAATTCATTGTGGTCTGAGGCATGGATCTGATTCATCAGTGCCCAGTTCTAACAAGACTGCTTTTCCCAAGACTTATCTACCCCAGAATCAGAAGTCATTTCTGAATCACTCCAAGTAGAAAAGGGAATTGTGAACTGTTTCTTCCAAATCAAATAGCCATTCTCCACTGAGGTTCCAGAATAGCCAACAAACCACAGGAAGACAATCCTTTAGGCCTCTGCTTGAAACCAACAGCTATAACTAACTGCTGGTCTTCAGTCAGGGCCATTAGTAACCTACCTTCTGAGTAGGGCAACCAACATCTATGGTGAAAATAATTCAGTGATGAACTCTCTCTTACGAGGTATAATTGAGAAAACAGACTCCTGGTCTCCACCTTTAATTTAAATAAATTTATGTCCTATTCTAACTCTCCAGACGGGCCCACATATAGGAAGTCTAGCTGGGTTCTATACTTGCCAAAATATCCACCGAGCCTTCAGCAATTTCTTTGATTGAATGATCTTCCAGGGTTAATGAAGGGTCAAAAAGCAAAGGTGATGGAGGACACTGCATACCATCCCCCACAACATCCAAATCCTAGGAAGGAAAGAGGAAAGCCTGCCATTAGCAACATGAAGAAAGCCAATAAGCTAAAGGTAAAACATTCTTCAGCAACCACAGGCCACTCTCATTCCCTCCTCCTTTACCTTTGGCCTACCAAACTGTTCAACAAATGACAAGATTCAAAACACTGAAAATTTTGTCTAATTACAAAGAACAATGAATTTTTTTTAATCAGTTGTGGGGGCTGAACTCTGGGCCTGGGCACTGTCCCTCCGTTCTTCAGCTCAAGGCTAGCACCTTACCACTGGAGCCACAGCACCACCTCTGCCTTTTTTCTGCTTATTGGAGTTAAAGAATGGAACCCAGGGCCTCATGCATGCGAGGCAAGCACTCTACCAGTGAGCCACCTTCCCAGCCCCAAACACTGAATTTTTTTTTGTCATTTTTTTTTATTGTGAAAATACTGTACAGAGGGGTTACAATTACATGGGCAAGATAATGAGTACATTTCTTATCAAGCATTGTAGCCTCCTCCTTTGTTTCCCCTTCCCATCCCTTCCCATCCTCCTCCCAGCCCCCAACACTGAATATTTATAATACCAAGGAACTGTCCAGTTAAAAATAGCAAATTCTGTTGCGTATATTTTACCGCAATAAACCATTTTTTTAAATCCCTCTGAGGCTAATTGTAGTCAACATCTAAGTTTATTCATGATAAATCTATTAAAGTTACTTAATATAACTGAAGTGTTAATTTCATTAAATGAAACAGCAATGAGGCCATTCAAAATCAATATCCAAGCAACCACAAAGCTAATGAGTAAGAGCAAAGAGTGAGCAAGGGAGAAGAAAAAACTAGGTGTACTGTTTTGGTTAAGTCTCTTTCCCCACAGAATCTCTGGTTCTTAAACATAACATTTCAACTGTTCTATCTAAAAGGGAGAGGGGAGAAGATATTATATATTCCACACTATGTTTCTTCCCTACAAATGGGCCATTCTCACTGCAACAATGAATAGCCCACAGACCAAAGAAAGATATTACTCTAGGCTCCTGTTTGAAACCAGTAGCTACAGCAAGCACTGGTCTTGATTCAGGGCCTAAGAAAGTGCGAAGGCTCAAACAACAGAACCTAATTTTCACACCATTGCTAAATGTAGTGTTAACCTTTCCTAACCAAAAAATGTTTTTGACTCTCTTGTGCAAAATCTACTTTATTAAAACTATATTTCTAATCATTTAACTTCACAAGCTTAGTTTATGCTTTTGTAGTCCTGATTAAAGCTTGAAATAAATGTAATTAAAAACATATATTGGCAGCTCATGCTTGTAAATCCCAGCTACCAAGGGGGCTGAGAGCCAGAGAATTGAAGCCTGAAGCCAACAAAGGCAGAAAATTCCTTTAGACTTCATCTCCAAAATAAACAACAACAAAAAACAAGCTGGAGGCATGGCACAAGTAGTACAATGTAAATTAGGCAAACAAGCTGAACAAGCAAAAGCACTTAAAATCCTAATACTAGCACCTCCCCCCCAGAAAAAATTAAAATAGGTTGAATGCAGTGGCACATACTTCAAATCCAAGCATTTGAAATAAAATACTTAATTCTGCCAATTGAAGTATTTTTTTAAGTCAGTAAAGACCAGGTGTGATGGTACATCTGTAATCCCAGCTACTCAAGAGCTAAAGGCAACAGGTTAGAGTTCAAAGCAAGCCCTGGCACAATTAGTAAACATACAAAAACAGAATTTAAGATTCTCAAAAAACAATAAAAATCAAAAAGCTACTTCTCATATATTCTTTGAAAAATCTATGCCACAAGGCTAAAATATGTTTGTGGCTTTAAGTATCACTATTCCATAATACTGTGAAATATGTGAAATTTATGTAATCACCTAATCCCAATCTAAAATAAAAGTGAGAGAAGGGATTGGTTATGAGCAATGAGTGACAATGTTGTCAGACACTTTGTATTCATATACTGATTTGTAGAATGGGAACTTCTTTGTACAACTATATGTTTAAAAAAAAAAAAAGAAAGAAAAATCTATGCCACAAGTAGGGCTTAGCCAAGTAATGGGACTTTTAAGGGATAAATTTGTTGTTTTAGTCAGCTCACAAAAGAAAATGTAATAATATATCAAAAACTGTAATAATACTTCATCAAATTTAGTCTTTTTGCAGGCCAGATTAATCTGAAAATAGCTTTACTACAGGACCAACACACAAGTTTAAATATCAAAAGTTGACTTCTATAGGACCTCAAATTCATTCAAAAAATAACCCGCTCCTAAATACAAACAAAAGGAAATGGAAAATTGGAAATATGTCTACCTAAGACTTTCTACATAAATGTCCCTCATGGTATATTCCATTTAAATGCCACAAATAGAAACTTATTTCTATGAAATATCCAGAAGCCCCAGGCAGAGCAGGATGCTCACTCACACATAGATGATTTGCAAAAGCTAATCAAGTTGCCATTTTTACAGTCCTCATTTTGTTTTGTAAAATACAAATTCTTGGGCTGGGAAGGTAGCACTTGCCTTGCATGTATGAGGCCCTGGGTTCGATTCCTCAGCACCACATAAGCAGAAAAAACAAAAGCCGGGCAGAAGTGGCGCTGTGGCTCAAGTGGTAGAGTGCTAGCCTTGAGCTGAAGAGCTGAGGGACAGCGCCCAGGCCCAGAATTCAGGTCCCTCCCACAACCAGACCAAATAAATAAATAAAATACAAATTCTTGGGGGTAACAATGCTCGACAGGAAATGTACTCTTTACCTTACTCATGTAACTGTAACCCCGCTGTACAGTATCTTTACAATAAAAAAAATTTTAATAAATACTAATTTTTATTTTAATAAACCAAATTTTTTTATCTGTTGACTTTTCATTGAAACCAAGTGTTGAAACAAATGGCCATCCATTTTGCAAAAATATGAACCGGGACCTACACCCTCCTATACTGCATATAGCCTAGTACCATAGATCTAAATACAAATTTAATATTGCAGAAGTTTAAGACCAAAAAAATAAAATCTTGAACTTAAATAAGACAAAACTTAGATATAACACCAAAAAAGTTATATGTGAAATGAAAAATTCATAAATTTGACTTTTTTAAAACTGAAATTTTCACTTGGTGCCAGTGGCTCACACCTGTAATCCTAGCTACTCAGGGGGCTGAGATTTGAGGACCACAGTTCAAGGCCAGCTGGGGCAGGAACGCCTATGAGACGCTTATCTCCAGTTAAACTCCAGAAAATCAGAAGTGGTGCTGTGGCTCAAGTGGTAGAGTGCTAGCCTTGAGCTGAACAGCTGAGGGACAGACCCCAAGCCCTGAGTTCAAGTCCCATAACTGACAAATAAACAAATAAAATTTTCAACTCTTGTCAAAGTGAAAGATGAACAGATTGGAAAAAAAGCAGTTGTAGCCGGGCGCTGGTGGCTCACACCTGTAATCCTAGCTACTCAGGAGACTGAGATCTGAGGATCTCGGTTCAAAGCCAGCCCAGGCAGGAGAGACCGTGAGACTCCTATCTCCAATAAACCACCAGAAAACCGGAAGTGGCGCTGTAGCTCAAGTGGTAGAGCGCTCGCCTTGAGCTGAAGAG